CACAAAAGACAATATTCATAACAAACTCCATATATTCTATGTATTTAGAACAAGAACAAATAATTGATGTTTGTATAAGTAGTCTCTTTAGAGTCTGTCCATTGTATACAATTAAAGAAAGTTTAGAGCACAACTTTAAAAAATTAAAATTGCAATTTAAGAACTTATATTTTCAGTCAAGACTATGGATTTGCAGACACCCTGAACAGAGAGCAGCGTTACCATGGTTCCACTATTTTTATGTCTTGGAATAGTGTGTATTTCCTACCACCGACGAACATAATATAAATAAACGTTGTTAGTTTGCTGTCCTGTGCCATCCCATAAATTCTGACAAATGCATAACAAAATGTACCCACTGTTACAGTTTTGTACAATAGTCCATTGGTTAAAAATCCCCTGCTTTCATATGTAATGCTCACATGAATTTTTTTCCATGTCTTTTATGGCTTGACACTGAGTTCTAAAGACACTTATATAACATTCCACTGTATGAGTGTAGCACAGTTTGGCTATCGGTTCCCCTCTTGAACACCTTGGTTGTCTCTCATTTCTGGTTCTTATAAGTACAGCTGGTTTAAATATTCATGTTCAGATTTCTGTGTGAACATGTCTTCTACTCAATAGGGTATGTGCATGGGCACAAAGGTATGTGTCTGTGTGATTAGTTCCTAAGAAAAGGCCAAAATGTCTTCCAAGTTGATTGCACTCTGCGTTCCCACTACCCAGGCGGAGTCTGGGCTGTGTCGCATCTTTGCCATGTGTCCTGAACTGTTGGGCTTTGTCATGCCAATAGTTGTGAGGGGGACCTTATCATGGTTTTCATTCTCTAGTGACGGGATACAGCACCTTTCCCTTTCATCTGTTCATTTGCTACCATTTCTTCAGATAGTTTATCTACTTTTAATGATATTTATTATCATATTTTTAAAGTTCTTAGTTCTTTTAGAGATACCAGATATAATTTTACAAACATATTTATGTCATAGAATTTATTATTAAATTAAATCTAAACCTGTAAATGTAATATAAATATTCAGTCATTAAGATATTTCTCACTCAATACAGTCTTGACGGAATAGCCTAAAAGTTCATTATTTAACATAAGAATTGCTTTTGTTTCTTTCTTTTTAATTCTTAGTTTTAATGTGTGCAAGAAGGTATACTTGATCAATGGCAAAATTAAATGTTCTGATTAGCCTAATCATCAAACCACTTTTTTTCATCTTCGAAATGTGTATTAGCCCACCTATATTTATAGGTGCTCCCCTCAAAAACTTTCAGTATAATGCTTAAAAGAATTTTGGGAAACACATATTAATATGCTGGAATGGGACAGGTTTCCATGTGGTTATTGAAAATAATTTTGAAAAGGAAAGTTAAAGTATTCTTAACCATGAAGCTATTAACAATAGAAACAAAGAAGTAGTATCAATATTGAGAGAGCAAGATTAAGGGAATACTCATAATTCTGCAAGTAGATAGATATTGGGAGAATTTTGTTTAAGTATAGCAACTTATTCCAAGGTTCTCCACCTATTTCCAGGTGTGACACAAGATTAAACAGGCAAAAAAGTCTAGATAAGTCCATGAATGGTTGAACTCTGGGAATAGAAAAACCATTAGTGAGTGTCCCCTGGTATGTTAGCTAGACACCCTAAATGATAAACCCATGCTGTTGCTGAAGGCGCTTCTGGCTAGGCATGATGTGCATTATATAGTATCTTGATTTTCTCTCTCTCCCTCTCTGTCTGTCTCTCCCTCCTTCTTTCCCCCCTCTGTCTCTCTCAGTTTTTGAGCTCTCTCATTATGTTAAAGGTTTGATACATCTATGTAATGTAATATGCTTCACCACCTCATTGGGGGTAAATTAGTAAACTTCTTATAAACAGAAAAATATATCCATAGAAAGACACCATCTTATATTTGCCTTATAGGATGCAGCATATATTTTTTATTTATTGTACATTAAAAGGTCAAGAACAATTAAGTTATTTTGGAAGATAAATTATTATCTGTAAGTTATATATTCCTATATTTTCTGAGAATCTCCTCCACTCCTGTTTTGGGATGGAGGCATAATTCTGTAAGTTTGGATAGTTAATTATTCTACAGATTTTTGTAGATATTGAAAAGAACACATCCCTATTCTGCATGTGAACAAAAAAGTGATAGTGTTGATATTTTTATTCCTGGGTTTCTTGATTTTAAAAAAGGGCATAGCAGACAGAGTGTAACAGACTAAACAATGGTTGATTCTGACCACTCTTAATGCTCTCACCAAATGACTTCAGACCAGGAAAAATTCTTTTTACTGTAACGCAGTTGAAAATACAGGAACGTAGCCATTTAAAGTGTATTCTCATCCCGTTTGAAGCTAGAATCCTTACAATTCTTTTTTTTTTTTTGTATCTTTAATCCTAATACGGGGAAGAATAAGATTAACAATGTTTATCACCACTTGGTGTCCATGTGCGAAAACCACAGTGGACAATGGACAGTCAGGGGATAGAGCAGCTTTTGGAGACAAGACAATATAACTGGTCCCAAAGGGCAAGGAGTTCACATACTACAGGGCCAGTAACTATCACTCAACAGCTGTGTTTTGTGGATAACTGTCCCATGAAGGAACACCCTGCAAACATTGCAGATTCATCCTCTAATCCCAACTGATCACAAATGCCACACCTCAGGCTTTGGACCAGCACTCTCCTCTCTCAGAAAATACAACACTGGATTAATGGAGTTTGGAAACAAGGGAAATGGTGCAACCTTTCACAGTGGTAAGGTCTTCAGAACCCAACTTTAACATATTCTTAAATAGATTTATGCTGTTTTGAAGGTATCGCACGTGTGGCACAGTAATTACCTTCTTCAGTATTCTTCATGGCAGGCATGCCAGTTTAACCCCACGGGACTCTGCCGATGCTGCACGGCTTCCCTTGGTGCCTTCTTTTTTTTTTTAATTTTACTTTCCGGAGCTGAGGACCGAACCCAGGGCCTTGTGCTTGCTAGGCAAGCACTCTGCCACTGAGCTAAATCCCCAACCCCCCTTGGTGCCTTCTTTAGAGAAAAACGAAGTTGTTTTGGAAGAGCCTGAGGCAGGTGCTTGTCTCTGAGCTGAGCCTGACACAGCAGTAGCTCTCGGGGAAGATTTGCTGCATGTTGTCTGACTGCATCGGCATCAGCATCATGACCTGTCACAAACTTGACAAGGACATGTAAAATTTCCATAGCCTCCTCAGGCCAGTGTTCTCCAGAAAGTGCTCTTCTCTTTTTAGTAAGGAACGTCTTCTCTTTTCTACAGGAGTGTCTGCTATTTCAAACCAGGACTGTGTTCTTAATTTGTCTCCTAAAATTACACGATTTTATGCATTTAACAACGCTTCACAATACTTCAAATACACACTCCCTTGCTTTTTTGCATCATAGACTCCAGTTTTTAGATGTGAAATTGTACTAGGTACATCTCACTAGTGCTGAGTACAGCATATTGGAAAGGAGGCTTCTGTTTACACAGAAGACACATACTGAGTAGGCTAATTTTGTGATCACACACTTCTCCTCTCCCAGCTCCTCCCAGATCTTCCCTACCTCCCCCACTTCCCCAACTCCATGTCCTTTCTCTCTTTCAGAAACAAATAAAAACAAACAAAAACCCCAAGAAACAACCACAAACAAAAAGGCAAAAAAAAAAAAAAAGACCAATAAGAGAAAAAAAAAACCCAAATCAGACAAAACATCTACAAAAATACCATTGAGTTTGTTTTGTGTTGGCCAATTACTCCTGGGCATGGGGCCTGCCCTGGAGTGTGGTTTGTATACCTAGCAAGACATCATTGGAGACATTTTTCTTTGGCAGTGGGTATCAGCTGCAGACGTCTAGGGGTGGGAGCCTCCACTTACTTCCCTCTCTTGGTTGCTGGAAGTCCATCTGGCTTGCCTGTGCAGGCTCTGTGCACGCTGTCACAGTCTCTGTGAGGTCATATGTGCGTCAATCCTACTGTGTCTGGAAGACACTGGTCCCTTGGAGTCATCCATCACCTCTGGCTCTTACACTCTTTCTGCCTCCTCTTCTGTGTAGATCCCTGAGCCTTGAGGTCAGGGATCTAGGGCTGAGGACTGCACAGTCTCTCTCTGTGCACTGGCCAGTTGTGGGTCTCTGTGTTAATTCCCATCTACTGTAAGAAGATTCTCTGATAACGGCTGAGCAAGGCACTGATTCCTCTATCATATCATATATAATAAAAGAAAATATCTGGTTAACATTGTAAAGTACCTATTTTATAAAATTAATTCCACAAAGATTAAAAAATTAATTATAAAAGTATGTAAATTTATATGATTAGGATTTACAATTAAATTTTGAATCATCTCTGTGCATTAAAACACTTAGTTTAAAACAATTGATTTTAAAGACAGTAGATTCTACTTGCCATTACCAATCTGTAATTGCTTTAGTTGTAATTTTAAAGTTATTCATTTTCAGCAAAGTCAAGAACCACTCTACTAGCAATAATTTTTAAGATAAACCAGCCAAACAGAAGAGCAACACTGTTAGGCACATCCTCCTTTCTTTGTCTTACACCATGCTTTGGGGTTTAAACTCTACATTTGCCCCAAAGCTCTCAGGCTTTAGCAGATTACTCACTTCTCCGTGTACCAGCACCCTCCTCAGTGATGTGGGTGTAGCAAGGGTGCCTGCCCTGCTGTGTGTGGTGATAACCAGACAAGTTCAGACATGGGTGCAATTCTTTTATGGTATGAATTCAGCACATATTAGCTGCATTTTCATTATGGTAGATTAGAAGCATCGTTCTAGAGGTTACATCTGGATATGTAACTATTTCTTTGCATGTAGATATCCCCTTCTGTGCAATGAAGGTCATCAGTTTGCACTTCTATGTTTAATGATTACTCTAGTGTTTGTGACTGTGTGTTAGGGGAAAAGGTCTCAAGATTAGTGGATAACTGATACATGTTTCTGTCATTCCTTGCAGACATCATGGAGATCAGGACTGTGGCAGTTGGAATTGTGGCAATCAAAGGGGTGGAAAGTGAATACTATCTTGCAATGAATAAAGATGGAAAACTCTATGCAAAGGTATTAATAATTGATAACTTAGAGTTATTATTCAAACTTACTTTTGTCAAAAATACATGCCTTTCTGAAAACTGTAATTTTCTTCCACTGGCACAAGTTGAATATTCCATTAAAACATTTTTTTACTTCAGCATTAAGGCAAAATATTTTTTGTATGAGCTTAGATTGCTTAAGCTATTTGGATATTAGATTTTTCATCTGTAAGATGACTTGGAATGATTGATCTCTAGGGATCCTTTCAATTCTAAACTCCCTTTTTTTTTTTTTTTTTTTAAATTTATTTTAATTTATTTTGCAATACAATTCAGTTCTACATATCGGTCACGGATTCCCTTGTTCTCCCCCCTCCCGTCCCCCTCACCTTCCCCCCAACGCCCCCCCCCCCCATTCCCATCTCCTCCAGGGCAAAGCCTTCCCCACAGACTGAGGTCAACCTGGTAGACTCAGTCCAGGTAGGTCTAGTCCCCTCCTCCCAGGCCAAGCCAAACAATCCTGCATAGGCCCCAGGTTTCAAACAGCCAATTCATGCAATGAGCACAAGATCTGGTCCCACTGCCTGGATGCCTCCCAAACAGATCAAGCCAATCAACTGTCTCACCCATTCGGAGGGCCTGATCCAGTGTGGACCCCTCAGCCATTGGTTCATAGTTCATGTGTTTCCATTCATTTGGCTATTTGTCCCTGTGCTTTATCCAACCTTGGTCTCAACAATTCTCGCTCATATAAACTCCCATGTGCATTTTAGATACTTGAAGCCTAAGATTTCCATCTATGAGTATTAAAGCCCTTTTGTTAGACTTCCTCCGATTTGCACATTGCTGACATTGAAAATTCTTGGGAAAAAATTTTTTGAAGTGTTCAGTTCATTTGTCAACATTAGTCTCACAACCATGGGCTTTGAACTGTAAGCATTCACATTGTTTCCACTTTATTATGATGTGAAATATGTGATAGTTCATCCCACTATAGTAAAGCAAAATTCAATTTCCTTTGTATTTTTGTAGCTCTGCATAATGCCTATGCAGGCCAATTACAGAATAGAGGTGTAATCAAATGAACAATTGACTGCCTGGATGAACAGACTAGCTAACTTTTTACTTTTGTTACAATTGAGGGCAACATAGTATAAAGTTTATTAAATTGTCCCTCACCTGCAGGAGATGGAGGCTACGCCCTTTACACTAAATTTCTGGGGGACATTCTGGGGAGAATGGAGTGATTTAGGGATCCCAACATTAAAGAGTAGGAATTGGTTGTCCAAAGGGACATAACTAAACGTGTATTATGTTATCTTTTGTTAATTTAAGATGCTTTTGACCTATGGCAATACATGACATAGATAAACCCATTAAACTGTGTCAGCTCTGCTCACTCCGAGGGTTAAAATAAGTCACATATACTTCACCTCTACAGACCATCACCTGCTTGCTGTTAGTTTGAGCCTCTCCAGAACTTGTATTAATAATTGTGTTTGGTTTCTTTGTGCTTGTTTTTATCAGAAAGAATGCAACGAGGATTGCAACTTCAAAGAACTAATTCTGGAAAACCATTACAACACATACGCATCAGCTAAATGGACACACAGTGGCGGGGAAATGTTTGTTGCCTTAAATCAAAAGGGGCTTCCCGTCAAAGGGAAGAAAACGAAGAAGGAACAAAAAACGGCCCACTTTCTTCCTATGGCAATAACCTAATCATACACGGTGTTTGAGAAACCAGTTTCATTCAGCAGGGAGATCTCTTTCCAGTGGACTTTTTTTCTTCTTCTTTCTTTTTCCTTACTCTCTCTCTCTCTCTCTCTCTCTCTCTCTCTCTCTCTCTCTCTCTCTCTCACTCTCTCTCTCTTTTAAAGTAACCAAGAAAGGCTGGAAAACTACTGAAAACTGATCAAGCTGGACTTGCGCATTTTTGTTTATTTTAAAAGACTGCATTAAAGAAAGAGTTGAAGAGTATACACACAAATCAGATTTAGTAACTAAAAGTTGTAAAAAGTTGTAAAAGTGGTTGTACAATCATGTTAGTAATAGTGATGTGTTTCTTAAATTAATTTACCCTTAAGAGTATGTTAGATTTGACTATCTGATAATGAATATTTAATATCACTATCTGCTTATAAAATGGCTGCTATAATAATAATAATAATAATAATGAAGATGATGCAGATGATGTTATATAAGGGATGTCAGACCTAACCCTGCTGGGATGCCTGAGAATGATCAAGCCCACACAAACCATAGACGATGAGCAGTGTTTGAGAGCTTTCCAGTAAGAACTATAATCCACTTTAGCTCTACTCAGAAAAGTGAATGTTCTCAACATTTTATTATAGAATGGAATCGACAGGTGGTTTTACAGAATGACAATATTGGCACATACCTGTACTGATTAACATGAAAAAAACCTAATGCCACTCAAATTGAAAAGGTATTGCTAACAGGATGTTTTAGAAGTCTGTATATAAAATAGCAATAATGATGACAATACTGTATTTCATCTCACCACAAAATAACATTTTATAATCCCTAAAAATAAAATTCCGAAGTCTTTAAGTCTTTTTCAAGTAACATATCTATCTTTTGTATAATTCACATTTGGGAACACAACTTTAAATAATGTTCTTCCCACACATAATCATGCTTTCCCCCCTGTGGTTACAGCATTAAACTCTACTTTAAGTTGTATTTGAATTTTATTGTTTTGTTATTTAAGTTTATGTTATTTATAAAGACAAAACCTTAAGAAGCTGATTCTGTTTCATATGCTTTTAATTTCAAGGGAACAACAAACCGCCTGGCTGTGCTGCAGAGTTCTCCTCCCCTGGTGACTGACACCAACTCTAGTACACAGCACTTGGCTAGCGAGTGTTGGATGGCAGACAAAAATGACAGCCTGCAGCCATGCTTACAATAGATGTCTCACAGCAAACAATGCAAATATGTGGGAAAGATTTTGCCGCAACACTCTTGCCAATGAATTTGGAACATATAAGTAAAAGAAAGCAGAGGATTTTAGTCAGAATATACTTTGATACATGGCAATACAACATGGTTTAGAAGTAGGTATATTTAAAGTTAGCTACTTGATAATCTTGAGAAGTATCTGCCGTGAAAAAGGTGTCAACACAGAAGTGGCCAGAGCACACCCCGGTAGAGGCTGTAGTCAGTGTATGAGGCCCCGGACACCCTGAGGCTTCAGGTCAGGCCACAGAAACAGCGTAAGAGAGAGATGACTCACTCCGCAGTTCTGCCATCAGTGGGTGCTGCCCGAACTGTACGCATGCTCACCAGGGGAAGGGCAACAGTTACATCAATTGTTGGTATACTAATTAATGTGATATCAACCTCAAAGTACTTTCCATTGAGGTTTCTTTATATTACATAAAATACTATTTGGTAATACGTTTATAAGTGAAGGTTATAAGATAAGGCCCCTGTCAACAAAAAATAACAATCTCTTGACTTGGTTGTGGTTTGCTTGAGTATCCAGGCTACCGAAAAATAGGGATTGTCGCCCTCCATCACATACACTGTAGGAGACACCATGAGGGAATAGTCTGTACTAGAATCCAATTCAAGGTCATTTCTAGTCTAGCTTCGTAGTCCAGGATCCAGTTTGTACCTGGAGTCTTATAAACATCAGGAGCAGAAGAAGACTGTGCTTTTCATAGTTGTCTCATTCGTGTCTAGCAAACTGCTGGTCTACAATCAACTTATATAGACATGAATACATGTCTATATGAATAGTTTCCAAGGAAAAGATGGAACGCTATTATTCTTACTTAAATTTTAAATAAATCAGAATGGAGCATGATCATGCAGAAGCTTAAACAGAAGTAGTGAGTATACATGCAAGGTGGCTATGGTTACCATTAAATTAGTTACTATGAAAACACCATTAGAATATTGAATTAGACAGAACCAATACTGAGTGTTCCAACTATTCTTAGTGATATGTCACATACAAAAATCTACCCAGAAACATTTACTTTAAAAAGATTTATTGTTGTTATTTTAAAATTATGTACCTATGTGTGTGTCTTTATGGGGATGTAAATATAAGTACTGGTCCTCATCGAGTTCAGAAGAGGGTACTAGAAGCTGAACTCAGGTCCTTTGCAAGAGCAGGGTGTGCTTTTAACTGGAGATCCATCTTGCCTGCCTCAGCATTTATGTTTAATTATAGGTTTTGCTCTATTAAAAAAAACTTAACATGTAAATTTCAGAAAACAAAATCTGCTTTAGGCAAACACATTTAGAATCTGGAATCCTGGAAGACCGTGAGGCCTTCATCTTCCTTCCTCTTTCATAAGTCAGGAAACAGATTTGAGTAGACTCAAGGTGCTGGGTGGACATAGCTTGCCACAGTCAGTGTCACTTAGCATGTGTCTATCTTAGATTGTCAGTGATCTCCTTGTTTTATTTGATTTTAATTTCTATCGAGATGCCATCTTTGTTGTTGAGAACAATTGTGATCCATTTGGCAATTTGCTTAGTACATAATGATACTTTTATGATTTGACTCAAGGACAGAAGGAATGCAATTTCCAATTTTGATTCCTAAGCAACTTTTATGTGAACTTTTAAATTTATAAATGGAAAGTATCACAAAAGACATTTTTATAGTAAGAGTATTCCTTTCTAAAATGTTCTTAAAAAGAAAATCATGTCAACATGTAGGTTTCTAAAAACTGGTAAAGGACTAAGTGAAAGAATATGAATGCTAACAAAATAAATAGAAAGATATTTCCAATATAACAAGTGAAGCGAAACACTTGGACACAGACAAGCCATAGTATAGACTGCTGACCTTTGAGTTGCTGTAAGTTCAACTTAGATACAAAAGAGAAGGGAAATTAGAGGGTCTGTCACTTAGAGCTTTTTCTTTTAGTTTTTTAGGATGTCAAAAACTATGAAGCGTGATTATGGAGATACTGATCTGTGATCCTCTAAATGTTCAATATAGTATAGAGTGAGGAGCTGGGTGGTGGTGGAGCACACCTTTAATCTCAGCACTGGGGAGGCAGAGGCAGGTGGATTTCTGTGAGTTCAAGGCCAGTCTGGCTTACAGAGAGAGTTAAAGGACAGTCAAGGCTACACAGAGAAACTCTGTCTTGAAACCTCCCCTAGCTCCCCTCCAAAAAAATAGAGTAAGAACCTAAGAAGTCATCCAAGATAGCTCACCAAAGACAGGACATTCATTTAAAATGTTTTCTTATCATTCGTGAGTTTGTACTTTACTCTGGCACACACTTGTGTTTGCTTTAATGTGAGAAGATCTCCAGTTGACACCAGAGAAGAACAAAAGTGAAGCTGTGAGTGGATGTCTGAGACTCAGTACAAGCTGCAATGTCACGCTTACCCACTGTCACGTTCCTGGGAGTGGATGAGACACAAATGGGTCCCTATCTTTCCCAGTCTAACTTTACATACAAATAACTCAGGGGTAAACATAAGCTAAGATCATTTTGTAAAGGTGTGACATTAAACTATTTAACACCTAATGTGGATGGTAATTGGTTAGTCAAAATACTCCATTGATTCTTAATACTGGGGAGAGACAGAGAGCGACAGATTCCTGGCGTCCTCCTGCCAGCCAGTATGGCCAATAGGTGAGCTATGGATCCAGAGAGAGAGAGACCCTGTCTCAAAACATAAGGTAGAGAGTGCTAGAAGAAGACATTCAAGCTCTGGCCTCTCTCTCTGTCTCTCTATCTGTCTCTGTCTCTCTGTCTCTGTGTCTCTTTCTGTCTGTGTCTGTGTCTCTCTCTGTCTCTCTTTGTCTCTGTCTCTCTTTGTCTCTGTCTCTCTTTGTCTCTGTCTCTCTGTCTCTCTGTCTCTCTCTCTCTCTCTCTCTCTCTCTGTATGTGCCTGTGAGTATATGTGTGGGATGGACACACACACAACACGTTCACTCCATCATCCATCAGAATGAACATGGGCCCATGTGAATATCAGATGATTATTCCGTGTGGCCATTTCTAAGATATCCTTAAAGCAGATGGTTAAGGTTCCTGCTATTAAATAGCTTGTTAAAGCTTCATGTAGAGCTCTTTCAGTGACAGTGTCAGGTTCCTTTTGCTCATTCTACCACATTCAACAAAGCTTTGGTCTTCAATGAAAGGGATATAGTCTGTCAGACTCTCAGAGGCTCCCTTCTGCTCTCCAATTTTGAAGAATTTATCAAAATGATTTATATTCTCTTGAACTGAGACTTGACAGGAAGTGAGAAATACTCTCTTACCAATGTTTGTGATTTCTTTTTAAAGCAACATCTCCCAAGAAGCCATGTAATTATTCTCATGAGACAGTATCTTTTGGCTTCCCATTTGCTTCCTGGCTGTGACACAGTCCTACTTCCCAACCCATCATCACAGGCTTTCTGAAAGCCTGTATCATCATATGAAAAGTGATTACTTCTTTCTGTGCCTGGAAACAGCTATATATTAGTTATTGTGGTGTATGGCATGAAAATTTAATGACCTAAAACAGTTATTTGTCTTATAATTATCTAGGCGCCCCTGTCTGCAAGCCCGCATAAAGTTGTATTCAAGGTGTTAACCAGGGCAGTCACTGATCTCAACACTTAGTCCTGAGGAAAATCAAGCACCAGCCTTCACCAGCTGTGGCTGCAAACATCAGCTCCCCACTAAAGCCTCTTCATAGCACCGTTTCTCAAAAGAAGTTTATTTCCTAAAAAACAGTAGACCAGAGCATGAAAGTTCCCAAATGGAAGCCATAGTTTAAAGAAACAATCTCCAGTGTGATGTCACTTCTGCACATACACAAGGGGCGGTATTACCCCTTCAGTACATGCCAGGAGGCCGGGCCATTATAAAGTGCCTGTTGCAAGACATACACTAGATGGGCATTTAAGGCTTTACCATAAACCCACATGCTCTAAGGCCTAATAAGACCAATTCAAGGCCTTCAGTGGTGACCATTCATAGAGAAATAGATCAAGCAGGCATGTTTTCTCTGGAAAATTGGTCTTGTTTTCCACAAGAAAATCAGAGAAGGTTTGAACTCCCAAAAGATTCGTGACCCACAGGTTGAGAACTGCTGTAAGCAAAAAAACCCTATAAAGACTATTTATTGGTTTCCAAAGCTATTGGTTTCCTTGCAGGATGCACACTGGAGTCACCTCTGGGAGGTACTTTTCTTTTTGAAGCAACGACACCCAGGCTCCATCCCATGTCAGCTCCTTCAGTGACATGGACTAGGGAATGGGAGATGACATTTTATTATTCCTCAGTAATCTCTAATCTCTAAAGGTCTTGCTGCAATTGAGAACTAACAAGACAAGCAGAAAACCCCAAAACAAACTCCTTTAGGATCTAGTCCTGGCTCTTCCACATTGTCTCCTCTTTAAACATAGTGAAGGGTCTTATTCCTTCCCCACCCAGGGTTTCCATCATTTTTCTATTTGCAGTGACACTAAAAGGAACACAAACATGAGAAGGAGCTGTAATCATTATGATAATGAAATGCTTAAAGAATATAACGTGCATAAAAGTAAACACCAGTCCAAAGTCTATTCTCAAACAGAAATG